TAATCCAAGATAATCTTTCCATCTCCAGACCATCAGTTTACTCCCATCTGCAAAGTCCTTGTCTGAGTGAGATATCATATTCACAGGTTCCAATGGTTAGGATGTGGACATTTTAGTGGGCTATTACTCAGTTTACCATATTTGCCACAGCATCTTCTGTACCTTTACAGATTTCTTCATTTTAATTATGGAACTAGCCTCACTTAATAACTTCTTAAATTCTGTTCCTTGATTCATTGTATCTTTAAATGCTGTTATCTACAAATTCCTCTAGCTATTTTTTTTGGATGGAACTAGAATTTGAACTCAGGGATTTATGCTTGCAAAGCAGGTGCTCTTCCCCTTGAATCACACCTCTAGTTAATTTTTACTCTGGTTATTTGGAGATGGGGTCACATGAACTGTTTTCCTGGTCTGACCTTGATCCACAATCCTCCTGATCTCAGCCTCCCAAGTAGCTAGAATTACAAGCTTGAGCCACAGGCACCCAGCTTCTACTAGCTAAAAAATTGGTGGGTTGCTTGCTCCACAATCCTGTACTTCCAAATCAAATCAGTCACCAGAACCAACTTCAGAAACATCACCTGCTCTTGGCATCTCTCCACTGTGCCCTGGCTGCCTGGGCACAGCCCTCATTCCCTTGCCTAGATACAGCACATGCTCACTGTTCTCTCTGCCACCTGCCTCCCACTGCCCCTTCAGCCATCCTCTACACTATTCCTCAGCTACTCTTTCTCTAGAACAGTTGTGGGCACCTCATTTCCTTCTCAAAGATATTTGATGACCCATCCACTGCCTACAAAGCCCCCAGTTTCACCTCAAATCATCACCCTTCTAAGGCTGGGTTCTTTCCTTCTTCCGTATCCTACACTTCCCACCTACAATAGTATACGCTGACATTACACAGTGGCCTTCTTATCCATGGGGGCAATATTTCAGATGGCTGGTCAATGCCTGAAACTGCAGATTCCATATATACTATTGTTTTTTCTACATATACATGCCTATGAGAAAGCTTAATTTACAAATTAAGCATAGTAAGAGACTAAAAATAACTATTAATAAAATTGAACAATTACAGCAGCATACTAATAAAAGCTATTCAAAACTGAGGAACTGTTTGTCCTTGTAATTTTCCACTTCATATGGACTGTGGTTAATTGAAACTATGAAAAGTAATCCTGCAGATAGGGGCCTACTCTATAAGCCACCCAGAACTCCTCATGATTCACCCAACACACCTTATTCTTGCCTGCCTGAGAGGCGTTTTTCTTTCTAATCCCAACAACTGGAATGCTGCTCTTCATCCTTTGTCTACAAAATTCATACTCATTTCACTTTAATCCTCATAAATCTGGGGAGGGGTAGGTATTAACTCTTGTGTTACATGGGCACACAGCCAAAGCATTATATTTGCTCCAAATCAAACACTATAACTGGCAAAGCTATCGTCAGATGCCAGGCTTGTCATCTGTCCCTTTTCTAGAGTTCGGTGGACTGTTACCTTACTAGGGTCAGATTATTTAATTGTTTGGGCTCTTATTTTTCTCTTGAACTCCTCCAGATTTCCCTTGGCCCCAAGGAAAATAAACTAAGTTTTGTATATTATTGCCACCCTTGATATCATATCCAGATTTCTCTGCTGATGACAATCAGAGCTGAGTGATCTTTTTTTAATGCAAATTTATGTGTGACATTTTGATGCTCCTACTCTTACTCTCTCACAAGTCTCCTTAATGGCTGATTTTCTACCATACTTGGGATATTCACAAATCTCCCAAAATGGTCTTCAAGGACTTACTTTCTGGAGATCTCCTGCCTGCCTGTTGAGCCTTACCTGATACCCACTCCTCTTAGTTCCCCCTCTAATCACATTGCTTCCTTTCTGTAACTTTGACACACCACAGTCCCTCCTGTACATGATCTTGGCACATACTCCTCCTTTTGCCTGAATGTTCTTCCCCCTCTTCTCAGTGAAATTAGCTTTCTTACCACCTTTCAGATTTCAGTTCAAATGTCACTTGTTTAGGTAGCCAAAATTTGGTTCTGTCCAACTCAGAAGGTTTTCCTTCAAAGCATATTGTCTTTTCTTTAAAAACACTCTGCATATAACCTGACAAAAGAAATCTAAATATTTAAAACATATCAAGAGTACTTGTTGAGCAACACCCATTGAAATTGAAGAAAATTGGTTTCTGTTACCTGAAAACTCCAAGATTGGCACAGGCATTTCCTGGCAACAGCATGATCAAATAGCTCATTCTTTTGTTGTTGTTGTTTTGTTTTAACTTGAAACAAATTATTGATTCTTTATTTCTGTAAGTAAAGTTAATAATGATTATTTTCTTTAATTCTTTTTGTTGTTCATTTATTCACATGTGCATACATTGTTTGGGTCATTTCTCCACACTGCCCCCTCCCCCACCCTTCCCCCTCTCCCCCTCTCAGTTCCAGGCAGATCCAGTTCTGCCCTTATCACTGATTTTGTTGAAGAAAGACATAAACATAATAAGGAAGACAAAGTATTTTTGCTGGTCAAGTTAAGGATAGCTATACAGACAGATTCCAACTATTTTTTTCGTGTACCCATGTGTTACGACCCATGTTGATTCAACTGTAACTGATCTTTACATTTTTTCCTGATCCCCTGCACATGATAACCTGTCGTTTTAAGGTTTCTGTATTAGTTCCTCTGGAGTGGGGACATCAAATGCTTTCATGTTTTGGGTTTTCTATCTCTCGTATGTACTCTCCCCTTGTCTTGTGATCCAAGTCCAACAACATTGCTACATTTGCCCTAGATCTAATGTCCACATATGAGGGAAAGCATACGATTTTTGGTCTTCTGAGCCTGGCTAACCTAGCTCAGAATGATGTTCTCCAGTTCCATCCATTTACCTGCAAATGATAAGATTTCATTTTTCTTCATGGCTGAGTAAAATTCTATTGTGTACAAGTACCACATTTTCTTGATCCATTCATCAGCAGTGGGGCATTTTAGTTGTTTCTATAACTTGGCTATTGTGAATAGTGCTGCAATAAACATGGGTGTGCAGGTGCCTCTGGAGTAACCTGTGTTGCATTCCTTTGGGTATATCCCCAGGAGTGGGATTGCTGGATCATATGGCAAGTCTATGTTTAGATTTTAAGAAGTCTCCAAATTTTTTTCCAGAGTGGTTGCACCAGCTTGCATTCCCACCAGCAGCGTACAAGGGTTCCTTTTTCCCCACATCCTCGTCAACACATGTTCTTGGTGGTGTTTTTGATGATGGCTTCAAATAGCTCATTCGTAATATGCCATTCCTTTTTTTATCCTCTTTATACTTCTACTGTCTACATATGACACCTTGCCTGGTACTGAATACTTAGAGATTTTTAATGTATAGTTATTACTGGTTGATTCATTGGTAAGCTTCACTTATTTAGATAAACATCATTTTTAAAGATTTTAGAATTTATTCAGTAACTAAACATGCAACTGCCCTACAACCTAGCAGTTGTACTCCTGGGCATTTATTCCAGAGAAATAAAAACTATATACATATAAAACATATATATACATAAATGTTTATAGCAGCTTTATTTGTATTAGCCCCAACCTAGAAAGTACCCAGATATGCCCCTGAACAAGTAAATGGCTAAATAAAGTATAGCACATCCATACCAAGAAATACTACTTAGCAAGAAAAAGAAGCTGACTGCCAATACACACAGCAACCTGGGTGAATCCCTAGAGAATTGTGCATATGATTATGTACTATGATGTATGACTCCATTCATGTTCCATTTCTGTAAAACTCTTGATTTTTGAGATATTACCATTGGGGGAAACTGGGTAAAGGGTACAAGGAATCTCTCTGTATTTTTATAACTCTATGTATAATTATCTCAAAATTTAAGTTTATTTTTAAAAGAACATGTTTAATAAAGTATATATAATACACTGTTCACAAACACAAAATAACTGTGGTGCTACCATATTTCTTCTTTATTTTTATGGTGGTTTATTGGTTATTTATTATTCCTAAGAATTTTATTTCCTTCTATTCAAAATGCATTTTCACAAGGACTGATGTTTATTGTTTTAGAATCCTTATTATTTATGTCCCTGTTGCCTTTTATACATTACTCTAAATTTGTTCCATCTTGCCCAAGATACCATCTATGGAATGGTTACTTTGTACTTTAATCTCTGGCAATATTATGAGAACAAAGTATTAGAATGTCTTCATCGCTCCCCAGATAGGAGAGACATTTTTAAAATGTCTAGCTTAGTATGGTGGTCCATACCTGTAATCCCAGCACTTAAGAGGCTGAGGTAGGAGGATCATGAGTTTGAGGCCATCCTAATCTACATAACAAGTTCCAGGCCAGTCTGTGATACACAGCAAGGTCTTGTATAAAGAAGGAGGAAGAGGGGTGAGGAGAAGGAGGAGGAGGAGGAGAAGGAGAAAGAAACAGGAGGAAGAAGAAGAAATGGAGAAGAAGGAGGAGGAGGAGGGAGAGAAGGAAGAAAAAAGAGGAGGGAGAGTGGAAGGAGGAGAAGAAAAGAGGAGGAGGAGGAAGAGGAGGAGGAGGTGCTTGACCATCAAATCCTCAGATCCCCTTGCCTGGTTCTCAGTTTCCATGCACTCAGAATTAGTGTTATACTGCAACAAGTTGTCATTGTTTGGAAGTCTTTGACTAGCTCATGTGTAGAGTTTTCTTCAGTACTATTCATCTCTCTGCCAAAGTTTAATACATTTTCCTGGTTATCAGCCTTATTGGATTTCCACTCCACTTGTTATTGTCTTTGCCTAACACAGTTTATTTAGGGTTTGACTCATTCCACCAGCACCAGTTATTGAATTAATTGTAAATGTCCACACTGTGATACAAATCCTTGTTCAGAGATCCCATGACTGCTATGGGAGTTTTGACTGAGAACAAAGCAGAATCAGTACTGCATTTTAATTGATTTTCATGCTTTCATATAAATTTTTTTTTGCTTTCTTTTTCAGTGACTACAGAAAAAATCCAGGAGCATATTACCAACCAGGTATTTCCTACTTCTCATAAACCATAATATATAATATGATTGTTAATAATTAAGCATTTGTAGATGTTAAAAACCATTATGCTAGTTGTTACACATGGACAATGTATGTATTATTGGTTCTAAGAACAAATAAATCAATTAATTGTGGAGAATCATGCACTTTCTTTGTCTGTCTCCAACCATATATCTTCTCTCTAATCCTTCTTAACTAAAAAATGGGAAACAGTAGACAAATGGATTCTGCCAGTCCTAATGTGTAACTCATCCAACCATATTGTGACCTCTGCATTGATACCATCATGGCAGCGAATAAATACTTTTATCCTTTTATCTACTTTTCCCTGAACTAAAGTGACTGTCCTCTGTGATCTTCTCAAGTGTTAATTCACCCAGCTGAAAATCACTCCTTCCTAAGCAGTTTTAAATGCTCCCCCTAGAGCAGAAATACATCCTAAGGTGACTTTCCATTCTGACTTTTCCTTCCACTGCACAGCTAGCTGGCATTTTCCTGTCTGCTTCATTCTTTCCTTATCCAATCTTAATGATCTATTGTTTATATATAACTGTTGAAGGGGCTTAAGGCAGGCAGCCACACGTGGTATAACTAAGAACACCGGCGCCCACGCCACTAGGCCTTCTGTGGGCCGGGTGAGCTTCAGAGTCTCACTTGCTGCCTGTGTGCTAAACTCAGAAGATGCAGACATTAGCCTGTAGCAAAATATTGTTCAGATTTCACTCACAGATAGAAATCTTTGTGTCTTTTTTCCCCTCTGGTATAAATTATAACTTACCCTTGCAAAGGAGAGAAGTGGGAAATCTACATTTATACCCATCCAGGGGACATTTTTCGAAGTCATCTAAGTAACTCCAAAATAAGCTCCAATTCTGGTTCCCACTGTCAGTCCACCCACATAAAGTTCTGGCTTTCCCTAATCTGTGTGATTCATCAAGCAATTCATCAAGCTTTAAACATAGCTAGCTCATTTGATACTGTACTGCAAATTCAGTAGGCAAAACTCAATGCTTATCAGGTATCTTTTGGCTTTTGAATATAATTGTAAATGTTGACTTGCAGGAACAGCCAATTTAAGGCTTGAGAATAGCATCATTGTGTAATAGCTAAACCAGTTGGCCTTTTCAAATTGTTTATTTGCCTTCTGAATTTAGTTTATCATTGTATTTTCAGTTAGTTTTATGTACTCAAGAGGTTGCATAAGGCTGACCAACAGTTAACCTATATAGCTTACTGCTGCCATATTTATTTATTTAAGTCATGTAAGGAATACTTATCCCTATAAAGAGGTTTGATTTTCTCATTCATTTAATAAGTAAAAGCAGTTGGTCAAAAAATAGATTAAATCCAGTTCTTACAGGCAAATTTTCATTTCCTGTATTTTCCTTCTTTGAACATTTGGTTAAACCAATAGAGAATATAGACACCAAAACCGTATACCAAATATTTACCCATAATCTTAAATGCTGATTTGATGCCAGATAACATCATAATGGTTTCCAGTCTTGTTAACTCTTTACTTTAACATAAGAGAGGATGGCCTTAGTATTTTATTTATACAGTCATTCTCAGAACAGATAATTATATTGTACAATCTTTGTCTATCAGCTTATATTTCTAATACTCCAAAGAAATTTCTATTCATTCTTTTTCCAATTACAGATACAGTCCGTAATCTCAAGAACACACTATAAAATTCAAAGAGTATTCTCACACCTTTAATTTATGTAAGTTCTGGCAAAAAAATCAAAAAATGAAGTCACGCCCTTTTTCAAGTCATTCCACCACCAAAGAAATTTGACTCTTAAAGAACATTTTTGAAAACTCACTCTGGTTAATCAATGAAGGATTCTTTATCAGAGAGAAATGCAAAATGGAGAGCTGTTGAGCATTAATCTTGCCCTAAATTCTCCCCGTTAGGCACTGTAGATTGTGTAATTAAATTGAAATTGAAAATTGAGGGCTTTTTTTTTTCTTTTTCTTTTTCTTTTCTAATGGCCAGGGTGCGTTGTGCACCAATGTGAAAAATCAAATTTGGAGAGGAGGGGAGGCTCTAGCCTGCTAGCTAATAGCCAATGTGCATTTGTAACCCCCAGCTGGTTTACCACACCTGAGTTCTGAGAACAAACAACTATTTGAGTCCTCTGGAGGGAATGCTGGATTCTTTACTGTGTAATTCACTGGGGAAATTAGTATGCTTTTTAAAAGTAACTTGTTAACTCAGCTTGTTTACGAGAAGAAGACAAAAAATGAACAGTGAACTGCTTGGCAGCTTATGGCTCAGAACAGGATGAATGCATAACCCATTTTTTCAGCTGTCTCTGGCAATGCAATTGCTGCAATAATTTCCTATCTGGAAAACGTTATTTGTAGAGATGAAATCTCCTCTAGGTTTTCTGAATAACTTTGACTGTGGTAGATTAAAGGGAATACCTTAAAATACTACCCCCAAACACTTCCAAAACCAAATTAAAATATGGTCATTATGAAAAAAGGAAAACTAAATCTTAAAAACCTTTTGATTTGACTTTTGGAAACTGCCTTCTTATATAGCAGACAATTGAAACCTGTAGTAAATTAATACCTTCTGTTATCCATCTTTACATAGCAGATATTTAAAGTCCATAGTGAATTAGTACCTTGTGTTTGTGCAGCTAGGTGACAAAGAGGGACACAGAATATGAGACTTTATTTCTTGTAGAGGGATATTCATGTTGTGGAGAACAGTCCCAGTTTGGGAGCTGGCTCTGAGAACACTCAATTCAGAGATAGCCAAATCCATCAGCACACCATCAGATCTGTGTACAAGTGTCCTGGGGCTGCCATAGCGAAGTACCACAAACTGGGTGACTTAAAACAACAGGAATGTATTGTCTCACAGTTCTTGTCCAAAGTCAAGTTGTGAAGGGGATCATGTGCCTCTAAAACTGATAGAGGAGAATACTCCCTTGTCCTTTCCTAGATTCTGGTAGTTACCAGTCATCCTTGGCATTCCTTGTCTTGTAGCTTCACCACTCCAATCTCTGTCCTCCTTATGTGACCCTCTTTTTCTTATAAGGATGCCAGCCATATTGGCTTAGACCACACTATTGAACTCAACTTAATTATATCGGTAAAAATCCAAAGTTCAAATAAGATCACAATCATAGGGTCAAGGCAGTAGCACTTCAACATGACTGTTCAGGGGACATAATTCAAACCATAACAAAGCTGGAAAGTTCCATCATCTCCATTCCACTTCTTCCTCTGACTGCTGAGCACAGAAAAACCTCCCCCATTGTTAACTATGATTATTCACCCTGCCCATGCATTATATTCACCCTAGAAGCTTGTTAGCACAGATCTAGAAACCAACACCCCCAAGAAATTCTAGCTAGGTGGTTCTAGAGTTGAGTTCAGACAGAGCCCAACCCTTAAACTAGACTAGAAGAGCCATTACTTCACAAACCCAAACATCACAAACACAGAAATGCAAAGACATATTTTTTTCTTTCCTTCTCAACTTCACGTTTTAAAGTTTGATAACCAATTGAGCTCACACAGAATATGAGATAAGGATATAGCAGCTGAATTGGGCCCTCTGCTGAAGTGGGGTGGGGTGGGGTGAGGCTGGGGATTAAAAATCACAGGCTGTATCCTGGGAAACAAGAGAAAGTGGATGCTTTAGTTTTTCAGTATCTTCTGCATATCCTTGAAAGTTGGAGGATGTACAGGCACACTTTGCTTCTCTGTACATTCTTCCCATGTGACCTTTGTCCTCCTCTGGAGAGGATGCTCCCCACCTTTATGCTAAACAATGTGTCATTTATAAAACTATTTCATCAACACACTAACCCTCTTCTCTGCATGTACAAAATCTATTCATGCAATACCTACTCAAATACTACCTCTTCTATGAAGCTTTCTTTCGTCACACAGCTAAGAACACTCTCTCCCTTTTCTGTGATCCCATTTTACTTTGTCTGTCCCTTTGCCATAGATCTTTACATTTTCAGCTCTGCATTCCAATTATTTATATCCTTATATAATTTTTGTGATTAGATAATGACACTCTAAAGGGAAGAAACCAAGTTTGACTCATCTCTGTGTCCACTGTAAGGCCTTACATATCTTGAGGACCCAACCAATTGCTGGTCAAACATAAATTTTTTGCTCACTAAATTATTATCCTAGTATCCAGAAGGAATGCTAAATTCAAGCAGTCTACTCACTGTACGCTGCTGTGTTCAAAACTGTTCTGTCATGGACTCTCTATGGCAAAAATAAGGTATTATCCTTTGCCCTTCCCAAGTGAAGAATTTAAACCAAAAACAGAGGGGAGGGTCAAGACTACAGGTGGTCTCTATGAATAATGATCCCACAGCCACGGGAGGAAAGGAGTCAAAATTAGGTTGATCGACATCTGTATTTCTTTTATGTTCACTTCCCATGTTGCCTGAAGACTATTAAAGTTTGCTTGGGTCAAGGCCTGGGTACCTGGTTTCTTCCTGGAATGTGAGCATGTCAGTGCCAATCACTACTGCCTTTTCAGTGGAGCGTGAACTTTAGAACTTCTAAATTTAAAATGGGATTGCATTGCCTTGCACTATTCTTATCAAAATGGCATGCACTCAAGTAGATTATTTTGACTTAAAGATAGTTTCTCTTTGCAGCTTCAGCACTAATGGAGTTAGTGAAGATCCCATCCCTCTCGCTCTCTTTTAAGAGTATTTCTAGAATTGGAAACTGCACTTTTTAAAAATGATCCAATTTGTGAGTCTTTTTAAAAAAATGTTTGAAAGTGAGACAAAATTAGAACAAAAAGTGGTAGCAATAATGGAAGTTAGCAAAGAAGGATTTATTTAAATGGTCTTTACTCAAGGCCAGGTGGCTCCATACCAAAAAAATACTTAGGTATAAATGTCAAAGCCCCCCCTCTTTAACAGGAATCCAAGAAAGTTAAAATACTATGTAAGGGTATCTGTGGAATGGGATCTAGAATGACAAA